ATATATTCATTTAATATAAACAATATTCAACAGCGAATAAGTAAATTAGTAGCTTGCCAAACAGTTGTAAGACCCTTCATTTTCCCTAGTGAGTTTATATTTCCTGAAATTTGTGAAAAGATGGAGAGAAAAACGATCTGAAACTTAAGGGTTTGTCAACCAAATAAACTGGTTTTAAAGGAAACATTGAACAACGTAGCATCGCACAGTAAAAGCAATTTTATCATCTATTAATGTCTTTCCATTTTCCACATTAAAAGGTGAATACAACAAAATCGATGGCTTCAGGGAATCTCACCTGGGTGACTGAGTTCATTCTCATGGGGGTCTCAGACCAGCCAGAGCTTCAGATGCCCCTGTTCTTTGTTTTCCTGCTGATCTATGGGATGACGGTGGCAGGGAACCTGAGCATCATCACCCTCACCAGCGTCGACTCCCAGCTTCAAACTCCCATGTACTATTTTCTCCGGCACCTGGCTATCATCAACCTTAGCAATTCCACCGTCATTGCCCCTAAAATGCTGGTTAACTTCTGGCTTACCCAGAAAAGCATATCTTACTATGGCTGTGCAGCCCAGCTGGGTGGATTCTTAGTGTTCATCGTGGCGGAGATTTTCATGCTGGCGGCCATGGCCTACGACCGCCACGCGGCTATCTGCAACCCTCTGCTCTACACGGCGGTGGTCTCCCCGCGGGTCTGCCGCCTGCTGGTGTCCCTCACGTACCTGCAGAGTCTGATCACGGCCCTGACTGTCTCTTCCTGCGTGTTCTCCGTGTCATTCTGCTCTTCCAACGTCATCAACCATTTTTACTGTGATGACGTCCCTTTGTTAGCGTTGTCCTGTTCTGATACCTTCGTTCCGGAAACGGCAGTGTTTACCTTCTCAGGGACCAATTTGTTTTTCTCCATGACTATTGTGCTAACATCCTACTGCAGAATTGTTCTTGCCATTTTGAGGATACGTTCCTCAGAGGGACGGCGGAAAGCCTTTTCCACGTGCGCTTCTCACCTAATGGCTGTCGTCGCGTTCTACGGCTCTCTCCTTTTCATGTACTTGCAGCCAAGGACCAACCACGCCTTAGATACTGACAAAATGGCCTCGGTCTTCTACACCCTGCTGATACCGATGCTGAACCCTCTAATTTATAGCCTAAGGAACAAGGACGTGAAGAATGCGTCGACGAGATTTCTGAATAACCCATGCCAATCGCTCAGACGAATGTAAATTTAGAACTAAAACTGTCTTCATTTATAATAGTAGTTTTCATTTCCTCCTGAAAACGCTGCTGTTAAAAGGAGTAACAATACAGGAGTAGAAACTCCATTATTTTCTGTGGGGAAAAAAACATATTAATTGCTGTTACCTCAACCTCACATACCCAAACAAAGAATGCATATAAATCATAAACGATAATTTGAAAAGAAGCACATTTTAGAGATAAAATGTA